TTTTCACTTTGCTTTCTCTTCAGCTTCGACATCAATTCAACAGCAATCCCTTCAGGATTTGCTGAGTCAATTCATGTAAACTGAAAGGTGTCAAAAGCCATGCTGACGCTTTAGGAAAAAATTCAGCAGGACCACCAGAATTATTAGAGTTCCTCGTCTGGGAGTCAAAACTGTTTGTTTCCATCTTTCAGCATCTCAGGAGCCGTACGTCAAACCCCACTTTAAACTGTTCAGGAAGAGACTGCTGGCAAAACTGCCAATACAGCAGGTGAGTGTTCATCACATAAAAGTAAAGTTTTATTTATACAGCACCTTTCATAGAAATACATTCACAAGGTGCTGTACAGTCAGAGGGTTATCTAAAAGATACACAATCACAACAGGATTTACAAAAATTTGGAACAAAAAAAATATAAAATCTCTACAACCATCAAAGTATCAAGACTGTGCAATCTGAAAAATAAAACAATATMCAGACAAAAATGGGGAGTGCAGAGTAAAACATTAACATATTAAGATGAAGGATTTTTAAATCAGAAGTTAATTTGAAGGCAGGTCTCTGACTGGGTAGATTGTGGAGTAACTGGTACATTTTAGAAAAATACATTTTTGATTAATTTAAATGATTTTGGATGAAAGTCCTGTCTGTTTGACATATATTAACATGATGAATTGTACGGTCAGTAGGTAGGGTTTGGTGAAACAGACACTAAAAGGTCAGGCTGCAGAAAAATGCTGAAATTAGTTAAAAGCTTGTTTAAAGAGGTGTGTTTTCAGATATTTCTTGAATGAATCAATGCTTTCAAGCATGCATGGATAGGAAGTAAAAGCAACTGAAAAAAATTTTTTTTAATGTCTGGCTTTATTTTTTTTTTTTAGGGGCAAAACTGTACATATGGCTGGGCACAGAGAAAAATCAACAAAGGCAACAAATGACTTCTTGGCATTAAAGTGTGAAAAATGCCCACAAAACATGGATACCTTTGGGATAAAGTATGATGTCTTACAAAACAAATGTCAGCGTGAAAGCTTTTAAAGGGATCCCCGACTAGTTGTAACATTAGACTTTATATGATAAACAAATATTTTAACTGTAAAATAAAGACTGTAAAAATACAGT